AAAATATTATTTGAGATTTCGAGCTCTTAAATATCAAGTTTTAAAACTATTTTACTAACCTTTTTCAGTACTTCTTGGTACGCTTTGTGGATTGTGAGAGATAGATCTAGATGTCGTAGCTTGAGAAGAACATTCTCTACAAGTACAAAATGTCGGTCCGGTTATTTACGCACGCTAATTATTGAAAACGTCGAGAGTTGTAACATTGATTAAAATGTTGTAAATTTGTATAATTTCTATTTAATGAACTGTCAATAAAATTTCAGTAAGTAAGGTCATATAGTATATAGTATATAGTATATAGTATAGTGTCTATAGTGACAAAGTCATAGCCGGAGACTGAATTCGTTGAAACGGCTGTAGCTAAATAAAAATCCCAGGTTTTAGCACAAATGCGTCCAGTCCATCGTCCAGTCCATCGTCCAGTCCATCGTCCAGTCCATAGCCCAGTCCAGTCCATAGTCCAGTCCATAATCCAGTCCATAATCCAGTCCATAATCCAGTCCATAATCCAGTCCATAATCCAGTCCAAAATCCAATCCAAAATCCAGTCCATAATCCAGTCCAAAATCCAGTCCAAAATCCAGTCCAGTCCAGTCCAGTCCATAGTCCAGTCCAGTCCATAGTCCAGTCCAGTCCATAGTCCAGTCCAGTCCATAGTCCAGTCCAGGTTTTAGCACATGCCCTTTTGGCAAGATTTGTATCAGGCCTATTTATTTATTTATAGGCCTGATCGCAGGTTAATAAGATCCTTGCACAAGATCTTGCCTGAGATCTTGCGTAACAATTTTTGACAGTTTAAAATTTTGTTGCAATTTACAATTTGTGATGCTGTTTAATTTAATAAATCCAAGTTAAACAACTGGATGTTCGACAAATAGATGTGGAGAAGTAATGTATTTTGCTTACGGAACTAAGAAGAAATTAAGAAATGTCGTGATCGGATTATTTTTCTTGTTTGGAGGCATCGAATACGGTTGGTATAAAATGTTATTTATTGACAAGAAAATACCTTTAAGTTAAAAGACCTTTCAAGTACTTAATTGTTATATTTGTATAATTTGGTTTGTGTTCATATTATGTATTAATGTGTAATATTTATAGATTATACAAGACGTACCCTAATGCGCAGTACTTTAATTATTATTTTACTCTGTAGGCCGGTGCTCAATGGGTTACAATTATACTAACCCATCAATTGAAATGATTTCAATTCAATCAATAGAATGATTTTAATAGCTATACATGTAATTGAAATAGATTGGTATTTACCAATCAATTCAGTCCATTTGAGATCGATTGTACATTGATATTGATTTTATCAATTCTATTCATTGCCAAAGCTGGGAATACATACTATAGAACATTGACATGGAATATATATACACTTAAATTAAACTTAAGCCCTGTTTACCCTATGCTCAATTTTTGGTACGGCACGGATAAAATTGGTACCCGTACCAAGAACCAAAAAGTGGTACGGTACCAAAAATTGAGCATAGTGTAAACAGGGCTTAGCTAAATAGGTAGTCCAAGAGCCAAAAAAGTGGTACGGGTACCAATTTTATTCGTGCCGTACCAAAAGTTGAGCGTAGTGTAAACGGGTCTTTAGGGACCTATGATTTACAATTTATTAAACTTCAGTATAGTACGTACTAGGGTATGTCACACTGGTTTTCCAAAAGAGAATAGCTATGTTGTACTGGCTGAGTCAGTTTTCAAAAATTGTTGAGACCAACCATGAAGGTTTAAAATCGGCAAACGTGGAGCTCATAGGTGCCGGATAACATTGAGAGAGTTCTAAATTATTATTTGTGGTATTATTATACTGAAAATAAACAAAACGAGAAAGCTGATATTGACAAATAGAGGGAAAAAACACATTGAAGATAGTTTTGCATGCACATTTAATAATTATTTTGCACTTTGAGTTGAACCTGCATTACGTTATTAACTTACTCTGTCTAATGCCAGATGATTTCACTCATCAAGGGGGAGAGCACTGGCTCTGAATAGGTTAACCAAACAATCTAACAAGTAACATGCCTTGTTAACCGGCCATTAAGCTGCTATTGTGCCCTGTGCGCCGAAGCAGCGAATGCCGGAGTTCTACCAGAGCTTCAGCAGTTTTTGGTCAACTGGAGTAGTTGTGCATGGCGCTTTCTCCCAGCTCTGGCTGGAAAGTCAGAATGAGAAGAAAATTGTTTTGAAAAAATCAAATTTCGAAAAATTAGCGTTGGTTACAAATAACATGGCAACATTGAATTTTTTGAAAGTATACATGTATTTAATCTGAACCCTAAACCCCTGCCGAAGCTCCTCAGTGGTGCCGCTTGCACCCCACTATAAATTTTCCACCTGTCCTTTAAAAAAATGAAAATCTGCCCTTGAAATACAATTGCATGTGCAATGCTTTGATATGCTGGGGGACACTATTAGGGGGATCTGGGGGCATGCTCCCCCAGAAACCTTTGAAAATCAGGTGTCTCACGACTTAGATTGCCTAAAAATTCTTTTAATTTGCCATAATGATTATTAATAATTACAACATTCTATAGTCGATATGTTCATATACTATTGCATTATTAAGATCTAGGATTGATGTACTTATAAAATTTTGAATTTCTGAGGTTATACCTGCAGTACAGGTAACATTCTTTCTATTGGTTAGAACTTGTCCTTTTCTGGGAATACCAAAAATTTTATGAAACCAATGGTCCTGTGGTCCGATCCCTTTTCATCCCTGTGACTAGTTGACCCACTTACCGGTCTAGCCAAATCTTGCCACCTAATTTATTTTTTTGCTGCGGTTATTCATCAAACACCTGATCCTATTGTGTAACCACTATTCCTCTACCTGTACAGTAGATAATAAACCTGAACATTGCCCTTACCCAAACCCAAGCCTACCCTAACTAGCCCTTACAGTAAAGTCTGATTGAGAGGGTACAAAAACTGAAATGTGCCTCTCAATACTATAGTCTTATTAAACAATTGTGGCCTAAAAATGTTTGGTTCACTTCTGGTTTCCCGAAAGACCCTACTGCAATTGCCCCATACCCGGCCACCCCTTCCTATAGGAGGGTTGGCAACTTTGCTGGGAATTTACTTCATACTGTACAATTGCTCTGTGGTCCCTGCCTAGTATAAGTGAAAAGCTCCCATTTCGTTGATAGTCCAGGGCGCGAAATAATGGCTGGAGGGTTGCCGGCCAAGGTGGCCAGCCAAATCAATTTTAGCTCAGACATACCGAATTTCTGGCTGGTCAACCTATGGTGACTATTTCAATGTTCAATACATCAAAATCATCCCGTCCCGGCAAACAGACATCTTGTAAAGAGCCTTTAAGCATAGACAGAAAAAGTTTGAACAACAGCCGTCCTACCGGCGTTTCATGAACTTCACGATCGACTTATGTATTCAAGAAAATATGTATTCTTTCCAAATCAAATGACAAATCCGTTTTAAACATTGCACGACGAACATAATTATTCTAATTTACCTCTGTCAGTTGCTTTTTTTATATCTTATTGGATTCTTCTGAGCCCATGCAATATGGCAAATTATTTTTTTTCTTGCGGTCCGAAGTCATATTTTACGCTTTTCTGCAATCTGATTGGCTACGTGAGCGGTCCGTATGAGCCCGTACGGACCGCGCGAGATTTAAAGCCGTAGAGCCAATGTTTTTATTTTTCAAAATTTAAAGACGAGTTTAAAGGCTACTTTTTAAAACATTAAAATGTCTGCAGACGATGAAAAACACAGTGAAAACGAATTTTACTATCTCACAAAAGATCTTTCTCTTCCCGATAGCATTGATAGAAACGACGTTTTATTTGGCAGCTTCATTCGCGTGCGGGAGGAGTGATTGGGGAAATCGAGAGGAGGAATTAAAAAAAAATAAAAATATTATTTACCGGTATGGTCGGTCCGTATAGAGAAATATTTCTCTCGGTCTTAAAAACGTCCCTCGGCCTTCGGCCTCGGGCCGTTTTTAAGACCTCGAGAAATATTTCTCTATACGGACCTCCAATCCGGTAAATAACATATATATATTAAGTCGAGACTTCAATATTGGGCGAGACCGAAGGTCGAGCCTAATATTGAAGTCGAGACTTAATATTTTGCCATATTGGGCGAAGATGAATCCAATAGGAGTTTTATTATATCGAACAAAACAATTCTATAACAAAAATTGTCAATAAGGCCAAATAAAAAAAATACTTGGTTAGCGTCACCGCCCGCCTCTCGATTTTCTGCCGCCTCTGAATTTTTTTTTATTTTTTTTTATGTAAATCTCTTCGTTTTACAGCTTAAAACAGTTTAATATTTGAAATTTTTCTCATGCTCAGACCTTCGCGCTATATACTGATCGATAGGAGCGCGTAGGCTTGGGTATACAAGGTTCTTAAAGCAAAATGGCGGCCTTCGCAACATCAGTACAAAAAATATCACCGATATGGTGGAAAAACCGCCCCCCATCCCCTCCAAAAATACTATTAAAGAATTAAAAAACGAGTAAAAATTTAAAAAAAAATCCGCCCGCCCGCCTAACCAAGTATTTTTTTTTTATTTGGCCTAAGCGATAAAGTAAATACAGCGAGACTAATACAGCGACAACATTGCTACATAGACTACATATATCGGCGGCGAATTTGCTTATTAAATCATAGGATTCCCAATAAATATAGTTATATCCCAATATATATAAATATATATATGACGTAGGTAAATCGCGTATACGAAGCATAATTAACAATTATTCGCCGAAGGCGAGGTGATTATCGGTGAATAAAAACCGAGACGAAGTCGAGGTTTATATTCACGATAATCACCGAGCCTGAGGTGAATAATTGTTTTAGTATAATTTCATAGGTGATTATTTGGAAAAAAAATAAGAAAATACACATTTCTTCGTCATTTAATTGACAAAAAGGCTTAGGCCGCCATTTTGAAAATCGCTTAGGTGATTATCGCGTAATAATCACCTCAACGGCAACCAATCAGCGTGGAGAATTTTCAATAATCACCTATGTAATTATACTAAGTTATAGTTATTGAGAAGGAAGCTCAATAACTATAACTTATGCTTCGTAATATACGCGATTTACCTACGTCACTGAATTCACAGCGCAAGATTGAAGAGAGTCAAAGCACCGTAATACCATGCAAATTTATTCAAAATTAAACAAATTTAACGCTTTTTATTTGTTACAACTATATTTATTGGGATTCCTATGATTAAATAACTAAAAAAAAGTTAATAAACCTGTTTTTACAAATATGTGTGCATAAATAAACTCAATCCATGTATGTTTAAAGGAAATTTGACCTAATTTTAACGAAAAAAATAATATTACTAACTTCTAGGCTGTTTCAAACAAATAAATTTCGCGAAGACAAGTTTTCCCGCGCTTTTATAATTTTAAACAAAACTGGTAGAAAAAACTGTATTAATGTCCCAAATTCTTTTCATTATTCTGCCATATCGTTTGTCGTATGTTTGAAATTGACAAAACATCTGAAAAGGGTTGAAAAACCATGAAAAAAGCTACAATTCGCAACTGTCCAATAGGTTCCTGTCCAATATCGTAAAATATTGGATCGGCACGTGATCCTCTAAACGATTACTGATTGGTTAAGTGCACGTGAGTGTATAATAAATATGAATGATGGATCCAGTACGTGATCCCCTTGTTCTTTACACTATATATCTAGATCCGGTTATTCGGGGCTGCGCCCTCTGCTTGCTGTATTTAGTGGCTAAATGTTTCGTTTCCCGTTATTTAACCCTTATTATTTATTAGGACAGAGGGAAACATGTTTTGTGCCATTGTGCAGGGCTGCAAATACTCGTTACAATTGTAACGCGTTAATACTGTGTACTCGTTACAATTGAAGTAATTTTAACCTGTAATTAATTACGTTTTTAGAAATGTAACGAAAAACGTAGTTAATTACAAAAGCAAGGAACATGTTCCTTATCCAAGAAGCAAATTGAAAATTCCTTTTCTTATTTTGTTAAAAATAAGAAATAAAAAATACAACGTTACGACAAAAATTCAGTAAAATGGCTGAAATAATTTTCAACTATCGAGATCACATGACATGATAGCCAACATGAAGTACTATTTATTGCGAAAGTGTAAACCACAATTTGTTCCGAGGCTCAGAGCACCAAATATTGGCAAATAAAGTTTTAAGTTTACATACTTCGATTTGCATGTCAAATGTTTTAGTATATTGAAATATCATCTTGATAAATTCTTGTAAATTTCATAGTTAATTATACCGTTTTTATTTACAACAACTGTTTAAGATATTGTCTTATAATATATATTAACAATTTGCCGGTAAAGGAATTTGTAATTAATTCCTTTTTCCGGAGTAATTTTTTCATTGTACTTAATTACATTTTAGAACAAGTAATTGTAATCAGGAATTTATTACGTTTTAAAGCAAGTAATTGTAATTGGAATTAATTCCTTTTTCAGTGGTAATTTTGCAGCCCTGCCATTGTGGAAAGTTTGTACCACTATGTGTAGCCGTGAAATCTGACCCTTGAAATCTTGGGTGGGGAATTTGAAACTTGGACCAAATATTAATTAAGCATTGCTGTGTTTGCAGGTGTTATTATTCCAACATTATGGCTCTTTCTTCAGCACACATATCATGCAAATGAATCATATTACTCCATTGTGCTATCAGCTTTCTGTTTCTCAAGCCTGATAACTAGTCCTTTCTTTGGAGCATGGATAGATTTCACTCGGAAGACAAAGGTCACTCTTCTCGTTGGGTTGGTTTTTGAAATTGGAGGTACAAATTTCATTGTCATCGAATTCACATATTAATTAACAGTGTTGTAACGGGTCACCCCAAGGTCGAGTGGAGTGTCGAGTTGTCAGTTGAGTCAACCGGGGCCGGAGTTCGAGTCACACGTCCTGTCAAGTCGAGTCATTTCACTGTCTTAGATCGATTGGAGCCATTGACTCGATTCTAGTGAGCCAACTCTTCGAGCGATTCGAGCAATGGCTTCAGCCGATCCGAGTTGAGTCAATGATTGAACTTGAGTTGACTCAGACAATTCAGAAAGGTGGCCTGCTTCAATTTAATTTCGCTTGATATTTCATGGAGTGATTCAAATCTCGTCTTTCTAAGCTAAGGACTTTTCGATTTCGGACCTCACTTTTCTCCCAGATCAATTAAAGGCGCGGCGTTACCTACTTAGCGATGTGATTTAGTCGGCGTGAAACTTGATTTTGTTCACGAACTTTTTCAAGTTTGTGCAACTCAAAAGATGAATTACTATACCGTTCAGTTTTTCTTGCTACAACCATTCTGATAGAAGAAAAATCGTCCACAAGTTGTTTGATTACAGCCCACCATTTGGATGAAAAGTCACGAAATAAACAATATTCAATTTAGATAAATTTATTAATTAAAATCATCCAAATATGATCATTAATATCAAATTACATTGTTGTTGGATGAATACAAAGGGTGAGTGTGTGCATATGGAGTCCACAATAGGTTTTTCAGGAAGTAGGAAATGGGAATCTAAAGGAAGACTGACATACATGTAATAAATAAACAGTACAGATATCCTGATAGTCCCTAGAATTCCGCCATTCCCACAAAAATAAAAACTGTAAAAACTCATTCTCTAAAATAGAAGCTATAGGTCATTTGGGCCAACGTTCCTATCCAAATACCGACGCACATAATTTCATGTAATTTTCCTCGAATTGGCCATATAGCCATCCATTCCACCATAATATCGTTGTAACCTATAGGTTGTCTGTTTGTAGGAAATTTTCTATATTTTTCCGCATCATCGAAGTATCTTGTTCTAATTGCTCGACTACTTTGTGGTAAGTTAAAATAAGGTGTATCATTTGTTTTTGGAGAGCTAACATGTAGAACACTTATTTTGACTCAAGAACTTAAAGGGGCAGTGTCACGGTTCTGCTGCGCATCCAAAATATGCGCGAACTTTAAAAACTGTCTGCCAACAATTAATCAAGTTAGGAGTGAAATACGATATACTATTTATAATCCCTTCGTTATGCAGGACATCCTTGCGTTGTTTTAAAAATTGAAGGCTGCCGCATCTTTTCCAATCATGTAGCATTAATTTTAAACGTTTCTTTGCGCCGTTTATTTTAGCCAATCAGCGCCGTGACACTGCCCCTTTAAGTAAAATAATTTCCTGCGAAGGTATTGTAAAATTACTCAAGTTTATGGGCAAACTTTTGAGTCACTGTGGGTGCATTATTTTACTCAAGTTTTTTAGTCAAAATACTCAGGAGTTTTTTGCTTTGAGCAAATATGAAAAATTTATTTAATAAATGCGGCAAAGCCAAAAGGATAGGATTTATGTCTGTTCTTTTACGCAATATCTCCATCAAGGCCGGATTTTGGTGGAAATAGTGGGGGAGGTGGAAAAAATTTAGGGGAGGTGCAGCGGTCTAGCTCGCAGCCCCCATGGAAAGTTAGGGCTTAGAACGGGCCAAAGTCAACGACGTGACGTATGCATGTAGTGTACATATGTATCAGTGTATTAATGAATTATGACTGTACAGTCTTACTTAGTTTCTTTCAAAACATGCAGTGCATTAAAAAGACACTTGACACAGAGATGAATGGCTGTCACTGTTTCAATTTTGCAGAGAAAGTGTGGTCCCTAAGCAACCAAAAATGCCAAATGTTCGATCACTTTGATCTATCATTGAAACTTTCCCAAGGGGAGGTGCATGACTTTTCAGGGGAGGTGCAAAAATTCTCAGGGGAGGTGCAAAACGATCTCAGGGGAGGACCCGGAGGTGCACACCTCCCCACACCTCCCCTCAAAATCCGGCCATGATTTTCATCCTATAGGCAATTCGTGTTGAATATCACACTGACATACCGTTTTTATTTGCCCTAGGGGTAGGTGATGGCGTTGGTTCAGTTTTATTTGCACAGATCGTCAGGACATCCACAGTTGAAGAGCGTACTGCAGTGCTGTCGATGGCAATGGCTGCTAGACAGATAGGACTTGTCTTAGGCTAGTATATAAACGTTTCCTTTCTATACAGCTTCTATTTCGTACTAAATACAACACAACATAGGTGCAATTTGTCTGCGCATTCGCGAGATTTACGCGGAAAACAAGATGGCAGCGGTAAAATACACTAGATTAATTAGCCCTTTTAAAGTGTTTCAAGTAAAATGAATTATTCTTTTGGATATTGTATCAATTATTTTCATAAATCACAAAATGTTAAAATACTAGAATGTCATTTTTCTTTAATATATTGTATAGAAATCAAGGCATGTTTGATTTGAGCAGTTTTCCCAATTTTTACAACGAAGAAAACGCCACAAGACTATTCAATACACCATAACATAGCTTATATATAATTTTGGCAAGGTTTGTATGAGCAGTTTTTTAACAGCATAGAGTACAATTTTAATTTCTACTCTATGCAGCTGGAAAATATTTTTGTGGCGTTTTCTTCGTTGTAAAAATTGGGAAAACTGCTCAAATCAAACATGCCTTGATTTCTATACTGTGCTGATCGAGTGGTTATATTACTACCTTGATTTCTATAGAATGTATTAAAGTAAAATGACATTCTAGTATTTTAACATTTTGCGATTTATGTAAATAATTAAAGCATGATGTACAATGATATCCAAAAGAATAATTCATTTGACTATTTTTACTTGAAGACACTTTGAAGACACTAACCCTGTCTATTTTAGCGCCGCCGTCTTGTTTTCGTAAATCACGCGCATGCGCAGACAAATTGCACATATGTTATACAACACAGGATGTATAAAAAATGGACACCTAATTTCAAATATAAGCTTTAATTAAAATAATAAAACTACAGTTTATGCATGTTACACATATAGTCAGTGTTGCAATGATCGGATAGTAATATTTCGAGGTTTGGTGAAAATTTGTGCGCGTGTGCATGTTACCTGTTTCCTCCTCAGTCCGTCAAACAAAATGGGATGCTTCCAATTTCTATAGGCCTGCCAAGAGCCAATAAGATCGGACAATACCTAAGGACAGTCTATAAGTCAGGCCAACCTTGACTGAGCGTGCATAGATTGTATAATTATACTGAGTCGTGTATTGAATATTAATGAGGCGAGCAACTAAATTGTTTCAAGATTGGTTTTGAAGAGTTTGATTTATTGGTAAAAAATTAAATATAAAAATGACTAAAGGCCTAAAAAGAATATTATGATTGAAAACACTTTAACTTGAGCCTCAATTTGTTGCACCTGTAAGTATATAGGTCAAAGTAACGCAAAGCAAAATGCGCACGAAAATTCTTGACCTTGCCCTTGTTGGGTTAAGCATCTTGGTGATACATTTTTCTTTCTCTATATAGGTCCTGCATTGAATCTTGCCACGAAGAACTGCAACTTCTATATCGGACCATTCATAGTTAACAATTACAGATCTCCTGGGGTAAATCATGTACTATTAGTTGACATGCTTTATATCTATGTTTTCTTCCGTCTAGTTACCTTTATTCTACTGTAGAACATATTTGTTGGCTTGTTTGCCAGTGGGATAACTTTAAAAGTTAAAGTGGATCTAATTGCCCAACGCCGAGGACAGTACAAATCGATCAAAATTTTGTTTAATTTAGATTAGAAATTTACAAAGCCGTTTCTTGCATCTCCAAACTGTCTAGTATACATAGAATTGAATTGCAACTGCATGTATAATTTATGCTTGCATATCTGAGCGAATGTACAGTAGTCTCTCAATGCCTTCTGCTTCTTATATAATATTCCTTTAATTTGTATTTTTAGATATTGATGTGTGTAATTTGGTCACTGATGTTCATACTTGTAATTATCTGCTACTATGACTTGCCAACCGATAATGCGCAAGTTGCCAATACTGCAGCAATTAATGATAGTTACACAAGTAGTGTACAAAATGGTGATTCAGTGCCACTGATGAAGAAACTTCAAAGACAACCTAGCTTTGTAGATAAATTGGTTTTATGGAAAGGTACATATTGTACTTATTTGGGATACTGACAAAAACCCAACATGACAAAATCCCTGGCGACGAAATACTCACTGACGAAATCAGAGGTGGGGAATGTTTTTTCGTTCTGGGAACTTGGGTTTAGGGCTCTGAAATTTCTGCAAAAGATTGCAATAAATAGGGAAAAATAACAAAATTGTCGTTTGTGACTGAAGCAAAATGTCTTTAAGCATAGAAATACTGTACAAGATAAATCATGGTAGTTAGTAGTTACAGGATTAAAAACAAATTTCCTATAACTGCAGGCTACTTGAATATTTTAATGAAACTTTTCTGCTGTAATTTAGGTATGGCGAGTTAGTAGATTACAATAATTAGGTGTTTAATATAATCATTTCAAAATTACAGTAGGTATTTAGTAATTTAGATATTGAAAAAGGTGTAAAAGTTCTGCAAAAGTGTGTATCCAAAAAATTTCTGTAAACCTAGTTTCCGATACTTTTTCCACCTACTCTTTCCTTTTTTCGACAAAAATATTCGCTGTGAAGAGCTACTTTAGTTTCTAAATTCATTGAAATATATGTGAGACGGCAATCATCACTGACGATAAACGAACAACCTTTGTGAAAGTTAGAATTTCGGCAATCGATGGGCTACTCCCCTATCCTACGGTCTGGGTAGTGATAGAGTGTATTAGAAACAATGCAGCCATCTCAGAATGACGCCAGTTACTTAGCACTTTCTGTCTGTACAAATTTTATTGTGTTAAAATCTTTACTCTGAATAGTGATAAATTCGTAAAATTTAAAGAATTCGTAAACAGAAATGGTTGGGAGGTTTGTCTGAATTCAATCTTTTGGTAATTCAGTGAATTTTTGTTGCCAGGGATATCGTCGTACATGTTTATTTTTTTCGTTTAGATTATTGTCTTGTGGATTTTTTTCATAAATTCCTAGTTGAGTAGGATTATGCCTGGTGATTCTGTCATTTATCAATCCACTGAGCTTCGAAAACTGCCAATGCACGAACTATCTAATCATGCTGTTAAATGTAAAATATTTCTACACACTTCCATGCATGATTTTTTTATATTTTTAGAATTGCTTAATGAAGAAGTAATTGTAATTCTGATGACACAGTTCATTGCATTCTTCGCTTTATGTACACTTGAGGTGCGGATTTTAGGTTTCAGCCACATTTTATCAATTTAAATGTTTTCCGATTTTCTGATCGAAATATCACTGGTACATCGACTAGCTAACATGGGCCAACATTACACTTAATGTCTGCTCCCGAGGAAAATAGTTAGTTTTGTTTTCCCGAGAGTCTCAATGTTTCCCGAGAGGAAGTGGAAAGAAACATTGAGATTCGTGGGAAAACAAAACTAACGATTTCCCGAGGGAACAGACATAAGTGTTTTGTTATATAGCGACGATAAGTGCATTGCATACAAACTCTATAATGTAAACGATTTTAAAATTGAAAGAACTTGCTTAAAAGTTTCAGCGGCATTTCCTGTTGCCTTTTGTGCATTTTCTTCTCTTTTAGATTCTGAATAGAGCGTTTGCACATGACGTCACAGCCGCCATGTTGGTGTTCCAATTCAAAAGAATTCTAGTTAGACATTTTTGTCTGGAACACCAACATGGCCGCCATTGTTGAGTTGGTCCCTGGGGAAATAAACTTGCGAATTACGCCGCCATTCTGTTTATTTATGTACGTAAACGATCGGGGCGGGCAACATTTTTTCACTTGTTGCCTTACGGGATACATTGCATTTATCTAAAGCCACGTGACCAGAAACCAGCCAATCACGTTTGGCGCTCATCCTATAGCTATATAACAATTATAATTATTGTTTTCAGACCAAACGATAAAGACCAAACCCCCGAGGGTGTCCCATTAATTTGACCGCTGTATAGCTGTACTATCTTCTGTGTTTCTCAGGCACTATTTGCACCAATGATGGAGTATCTTCTCGGATGGAAAGAAACACGAAATAGTTATGTTTATAGCTTGATAGGAGTCGAGGTGTGGTTAAAAACATCCTAAATATTATATATATATGTACAGCTAATTCAAATATTTGGTGGTTCTCTGAAAACCGCAAAACGTCGACCTCTGAGGGGGAAAAGCAGTGCACAATGGGCGTGGTTATTTTTTTTAGATTGTTTATATGCATGCATGTTAGCACTGACATTTATGCTATAATCAAGTGGATTTAATTCCCAAAGGAGTTATAAGTATGCTCCACAAACAACTTTCTTTAACGTTAAAAGTTTAAAAATCCAATGAATTCTGTTGGGTTTTATGTTGAATTGAGGTAGAAGAGCAAATAAAATCCGAAGTAGGTGAAAATCACAGGAATTCGCAAATTATAAATCGCTTTTTACGGCGTTACCAAAACGGCTTTTGGACGTAGTTACCTGTAGTAAACCTACGGAGTGTCGGACTATTCCTTAGAGGTCGAGGTTTTTGACTTTGAAATGACAACCTTAATTGAATTAGCTGTATAGCATTGCTGTAATAGAATCCTCTTTCCTAGTAAAATAGTATTGTTTTTTGTAGGCTATAATAGTGTATGGTATAGTGAGCAAACTTAGTAAACGTATTGCTGATAGGTAAGTTTTGTATCACGTAACTGTACGGTACATCACAGTGAGTAATTTATAAATGTTTTTCAAGATATATGTATAAGACTAAAAACTAGGAGTTATTATCGCAAGGAAAGTGCTGTCTCAAACTCGGCGCTCTTGAGTCGATATAGTTGGTGATTTTTTCACCACCTGAGGTACAATTCTCTCACAAGATATCGCAACAAAATATTTTTCTACTATTTTTTTACGTGCATGATGATATCATTTTTCCAGGTGGTTGATGGTGATTGGTCTTGTCCTGGAATCGGCAGTCATCATTCTTTATTTGATTCTCTTAGCTCCCGCTGAACCCTGTAAGTATAATAATAAGAGTGGTCTAGTTTATTCACATATTCTTGCCCACCAAGTTGTTTGAATTACAAATAATTATAATATTAACCATATATTAACCAAGTGAAGTGCAAAAATCATATTTCAAGTCTACCTTATATATCACAACCCGCACACCCCAAAATTTATATATACATGAACTTGCTGTTACAGCTCGACAATTGGCTCTGTAGCTCAGTTGGTTGCAGGCGCGTAGGAACCGGGGGGGGGGAGCCAAGGCTCCCCCAAGTTTTCAAAAGTGACCTTTTTTTCGGTGGCAAAGTGCCCTTTGTGTTCGTGAAAAATGTTGTTCAGATTGCATTTTTGCCTTAATGGCCTTTGATTAATGTCAACATTTTCGGGGAAATTTTTTTAGGTGCCTTTTATGATTGCATTTATTTTTCTTCCCTCCCCCAGGGCCGTAGCGAGGGAGGGTTTTGGGGGTGGGGTGGTTAACCCCCAGCTTTTTTAAAATTAACATATTCGGAAAATCGGGTTGGCCATTCGGAAAATTACGGCAATATAGTATAACAAAATTTTAGTTGTTAAACAGAGAAAATATAATAAAATTGTATTGTCAGTATATAAACTGATTTACGAAATCATGGCATTTACGTGCATTCCATTTAACTGAAATCGTAAATCGGTAAATGTTTTTCGGTTTATTACTTCTCAGGGCCGAAGCAACCGCGAGGGGGGAGGGGGGGGGGGCTTGGTGGGAGGGCTGTAGTCCCAATAATGTGCTAATAATCATTCTTTTTTCAAAGTCATGCAGACCTTTATCATTTAAATAGTATACCTTTACAATAATGACAATTGATTAATTTTAAGCGGTTATACATTATCCAAGACGAACTGCAAATAATCATATTATCCATACTTTCCTGCAACTTCCCCAATATATAGTTAATTAAATACGCCTTCGCCCATTTAATACAACTAAATTGCAAGCAAATTTTAAATTTTGACATACTAAAACGCTGTTTTCTGGCCATCAGAATTCTGTCAAAATGGCCTAATAAAATGGAGTTCAATAATCTTTTTAAACTTATACATAATTACGTTTCATATTTTTCAACATTGTTTGAGCTTGAGGCAGCGCTTTTGAAACCATAGTTTTCGACGATTATTTAAGCGATTTACTGTGTATCGGCAACTAATTATTTTTGTTTTAAAAACATGAAAACACTTCGTTTAGATTGAAGAAAAACGAAACCCGACGAAGAATGAACTATCATTTTCTAATTTCATAAGATATTAGCAAAACAGTGATGTTCAGAGCATGCAAAAATGTTTTATGAATAAATTATATTTGGTGCGAATTTCAACTACTTTGTTTTTACAAGGCTGTACGATTTCCATGCACCGTTTTTGTAACTGCACATTTTCTTTGTCCCTTCAACGAACTTGATATTTCAAAAAATATCCCCAAACTACAAATTAGACAGCAAGACAAAACGTTTTGACGATGAAATTCATGAAAATTTAGTTTCACCTTTGTTTATACTTTGTAGTTTGCGGTAGTCAAATTCAACATGGCGGATTTATTAGGGCACGCATGAAAAAAGTGGAGACATGATTCGTGATCAAGTTATTTACACATTCTATATCTGTTATTTCTATGCGCCTATATAGGTTAGACTTGTCAAAAGTCTGGGCAGATGAGATGGGCCTGAGGAGGTGGGCTTGTTTCTCCTGGCGCGACCAGTGAAATACATCTTTGACAAATTTCCTTATACTTTATTAGTTGATATTAAAATAATACCTTTGTATTTATTGCGGAGAAATCAACTCTGCCGCTGAATATAGAAGGAAATCGATATTCAATGAATCTTCTAAGTCGTTAGCGGGCGTGCATGGTATATTATTATAGCACAGAATTAAGGAAATTTTTTATTCATAACTTTTGTTTGCCGGGTTTTTTTTTGGTAAACCACGCGTTTAATAATAAAATAACAGATCAATATGACTAAAGGATGTTCAACAGAAAAACAAGGCGAAACTATAACAAAACGCCAATAAAGTGAAGGAACTTTATGTCTTCTAATGTGAAGAAGTCAACAGCTCGGTCAAGAAGCGGATTTTGTTATATAAATGCGCGTTGTATATAAATTGTATATAAATGTATATAAATGCGCGTATATAAATGTATATAAATGCGCGTTTAGTACACATAACATTTATTATTATTACTTTTGCACAGTATTCACAAATAAAAACAACGTTTAAAGTCATTAGATATTCCAGCCTGGATAACTGGGCAAATTTCAGTCAAGGAAAGTAGTTCGAGATAATGGGAGTTAACCAAGGTCGAGTTAACCAAGGTCGAAATAGGCACGGAAAACGATTGAGATAGTAACGACAAATTCACATGAAATGGATTTAAGTTTGATATAGCGGGGAATTTGAGATAAACGAGATGGATATACGGTAGCGGGATTCTCCTATACACGGAGAATAAAAGAAAATCTATTGTCTCAATGTAGTCCGTTGTCCACCATCCTCGACCTGCGCGCTATGGAGTTTATAACGAAGTGGGACACCTCAGAATACGCAGCATGCTGTATACTGTATACAGTACATGGGATTAAAGGTATTGACTTGCACTTGTGTTTTTGTTTTTAGATGATTCAACTATATTTCCGACAGTGGCTGTTGGCACGTTTGGGATCGTTCTAGGTCTTCCTTTCCTTGCAGTAGGCGGTGTATCTTTGTTCTCAAAAATTACTGATGAACGAACACAAGGTCAGAACTTAAACTTGTGGTTTATAAAAAGTGAGCAGAATCAAGGCATAGTTTGATATCATTATAAACACTAAGCTGGAGTCATGGGGATCAGTTGCGTTCGAAAATCCCTATATTTTCGCATGGGAAACCTTACAAAGATAACCACTCCCTTCCAAATCAATCCGCCTCCAATGCAATTTAGAAAAAGTATGGCAGTTCATGTAGTGAGATAAGTTATATATACTATATATAACTTATCGGAACGTCCCAGTTCATCGAAATATGGGTGACATGGGACACAACTCGATAGAGTTAATTGTTGAAGGTTTTTGTATAGATGGGAATTTCGAGTGTAGATTTTATACGTCTATTAAAAGTCCTGATGTTTTACACTTTACAATAGGCAATTCCCATTATAGCTAAGCATCATGGGAAATGTGGTAGGCTTCACTTGCACGCGAAATGGCCGCCGCGAAGCGAGCATTTTGCATGCGAGAGAAATTGCTTTATTAAAGTACATTTTTTCCAGAGTATTATAGTTTAAATAGAAGTAATGTGTTTGTATTACATTGAAGTGTATTGTGGGCGAAGTATATCGAAATCGAAGCGAAAACGGACGAAATAATTGGTGTTGAACAGGCGAGGAGCGAAGAATGGCCTCGCAAATACGCTCCGAGAGGAAGGTTCAAGTCTACATTCTAAGGTGAGTACGCTTGGTAGACATCGGACTCCTCGATACAAATACGTGTGACTTGTTGCTTGATTTATATCTCGATTTTCTCAACAATCCAGCGTTATCTCGCGATTTTTTCGCTTCTTGAAACTCTCAAATTCGGCCCATGATGTCTTTCGTTCGTTCGATAAGCATGGCCTCTAAAAGCAGTCTTTTAAAAAAGCCTTGGAAATGTTTTGGCGCGAAAGAAAACCAACCTAAACCGTTTTTTTCCGCCCCAGCTCTGTTACGTTGCCACAAGCATAAAAAGAAATAATTTTACCGCTGTTTCTGCCGCTTATAATAATTTCTGCTCCCTTTGTTGTGGTCGGTTCATTTCCTATCAAAATAAACAAGTAGGTTCTAGCTAGTTAATTTTAAATATATTAAATTTACCTCTTTTAACTTTGTTAAAACTGTTTAAAATTTGCATAGTTTTGTGCTTAGTTAAATACAAATTTAAAGGTATTTAAAGGCATTCTAGTTTAATTTTTTTCATATAAAGCTGCAGCTAGTGCAGGCAATTTAGTGGACTAGAATATAAATATATTCATATTTTAAAATAAAGAGTAGGTTTTAAGGCAAGTCCTAAAAATTAAATTTCTAGATAGTTAATTTTAAAATTGTTAGGATAGGTTTAAGTTAAATTAAATATTATGGATAATGAACCAGGAACTTCAATAGAGGCAGATAAAAATTTGGCAGCATTAGAGGATAGTTGGACAAAGAGTTTAAAGAATATCCCAGAATTTTCATACCAGAAATTAGAGGAACATTTGGTACTGGATGCTAAAAAAACACCTGACAACAAGCCTGCTGAAGCATTTAAACATAAAAAAGTGGATACAGACTTTTCAAGGCCGGTTATCCAAGGCAATTTGTGGTCAAGCCAAATGTGAAGAAAGGAGATAAGGCTATTTTCCGGCCAGATCCGGTTCCAGCCGGATCTTAAAAAATTGGTTCCGGTGCACCCCTAGGGGAGATATGCCAATCAAACCTTTACCAGTGTTATGGTTTTTATACGTTGAGAAGGTTGCACTTTGACTTCTTGGTTGTGAGGGCATTTCTATAAATACTTCTGTGCAATCGACAATCACCCTAGTATTGGGATAACTCTCCTTGAAGCTGGAAGGCATGGTTTCTCTAATAAAATTTTGTGAAGACCAAATGGGAATGGATCTTACTCGTGTGTATAAAAAATTCAGCCATGTTATCCAAATTCTAGATACTTGGGATTTAGACAAGTTAAATCTATTTGCTAAATCTCTTTCCAATAACCCCAACCTTGAGTCTTGTAAGACACAAGAACAGCTCGTCCTCTGGTGATAGCCTCTTCTTTGGCCCAAACTTTTCACGTTTTGCAGTTTCGTTTGAGCTGTTTGATGATCCAATATACTGTAACCTTTCACATGCTGGACACAGATAGTTATAGAAAGCTTTAAATGTACCATAATTGGAAAAGCCGGTGTAGAACTCAAACTCACGGCAATATCATTGCTTTTAAATTGATCTATTGAAAAATCACATTGCTGAACCTTTTCCTTCATCTTTGAAATTTCCTCTTCATATTCTTGGTTTTTCTGTTCAAGAGTCTCAACTACATGTTCAAGTTTTGAAA